TTTTTATTCCACGCAGCCAAAAAAAAAAAATTTACGAAAAATTGAAGGTAAAAACAGGTACCGATCTGTTTTACCTTCAATTTTTCGTAAATTTCTTTTTTTTGGCTGCGTGGAATGAAAAATCCTTTCAAATCGACCGTGCACCCTGTATAAGCATATATACTTTAATTACAGAAAAGGATTTTTCATTCTTTGTATTTTATATCAAAATGCTGTAACTTTCAAGCCTCATAACTCGAAAAGTACTTAATGAAAAATAACTTCATTATAGTGTTTTGAAAAGCTCTTGACATCAGCTATTCGATTCTGGAATCAAAAATAGAGTATTTTGTTTAAAAAAATGACAGCCATGATAAAATCTCGAAAGTGGCGCCATCTACAATTAAATTGATAATGTCATCGTCTTTTCCTCTCGAAGCCATAAAACATTTATCTCAAACATTTTTTTGAAAAAACTTCTCCTTTTCGAGATATTCGCGTGTATTAAATAAAATGGTCTACCCTGTAGTGTTTTGAAAAGCTCTCGAGGTAAGTTACAAGAATATGCAATGAAAAATGGGGATTTCCATTTAAGAAATTGAAGGTGATCTTCATGTGATGTTCAAACGACTATCCAAGGTCAAATCAATGACATCATCTTATGTTCCCCTCGAAAATTTTTGTACGAAACGTTTTTTCATATTTTTCGAAATATTTGCTCGGGGAAATTAAAATAAAACACCTTGTTTACTGGTGGTTACAGCTGCCCTCTACTAGTATTTTCGGATAAATAATAGCACTACTTTGTACATTATTACCATCAACCAGTACAGAATTATTATAATCTAACAAAGATTATACGAGAAGTTATCAACGAGATACCATTAGAAAAATGCAGTACTGCATAAATGTGCATAGATGCACTGTGCACAGCGCTTTTTCAATAAATATTGCTGTCGGAGCAAGAAATAATAATCCAGCTAAACTCTGAAGATAACTATAAGAATGCACTTTTGCGGAAATATATAATACACGGTGCCAAAGATATATATAGACATTTATGAAACATCGGGAATTGCAAATGATATAATTATTATAAATTTTTACAATGTATACCGTGATATTCCAACTGTTGCACTAGAGAGCTCGTCTTCTACGACGACTACACTGCCTCATCAGCGGTGGATAAGCGCTCGAGTGTATCCACCATATGTTCCGTATCAGTCTCCACCGGAGAAGTAATAATAATAATAATACCAAAGAGTAAATACGTGAACACATTCAGTAATCGTCGACGTGGAGCGGTAGGGTCTGTGAAACGGAGCGAGACAGAATGTATACAAGCAAACGTGGGGAGCACGTGGCGTGGCGTGCGTATCGTCCTCGGTCCATGACCTACACCACCGTATTATAATCTACGAGTAGAATTTATTGCACCGTACAACGCCGCACTCTCGTTCTCTCTTCGCACTTGGTGTGTGAGAGACAGAGAGAGACGGGAAAAGCGGGCGGGAATAGGAACTGACGGAGACGGAAAAATACATTGCGAGCGCGTAACAACGCGTGTCCCAGTGATCGCGTTTAAACACTTTCCACCCGCCACCCGCTCTCCCCTTGCTCTCCCACCCTTCCGCCGGCTCTCGATATCGCTGCGTCGCTCATTCTTCTCCTGGCTCTTCAACTTTTTATCTCCGACAGATTGCCGAAGAACAATCTCACTGGGAAAATCCATCGAAATAACAGGCGCCGCGTACGCGGACGGACGCTGCCTCGCATTTTATTCTTTCACCTTTCGCGGATCTCGCCACGTCTCGAAATGCTATATAGGGGGACTGTTTTTTGCAGATGCGTAGTAAAGAAGCCTGGACGACGACGACGACGACGACGATGACGGCGGCGGCGGCGACGACGACGACGACGACGATGAGGGCAGGGTAGAGAGATGGTCAGTGGGTGGCGGCGACGGCAACGACGATATCCCTCGACCCTTTCGCCCACTTCCGCCCCCTCTGACCACCCGACCCAACCCATACCGAAGCAACCTACCTACCTCCCTTCCGCGCCTTTCCCCTTCGCGGCCTCCCTCATCGCCGCCGTTGCCCTCGGCCGTCTCTCTCCCCGCGCTTTGCCTCGCCGCGCTGCGCCGCGCCTCGCCGTCATTCCGTCCTTCCCCCCGCATCTCCCCGTCGCCCCGGCCGCGCCGCGCCGCCACGGCCCCGCGCGTCACCCTCATTCCGCGCGACCCCTTCGACCGGCATCCACGTGGGACGCAAGACGAGGGTGTGAGGTAGCAGACAACGCAGAGATACCACCGCGCCGCGGCAGCTGGCTCAGTGTTTCTCAACCGCGAACTTAACGCGGGCCACGCTCGAGCGCGAGCTGCGAAAATTTACGACTCGCGAATTACGCGTCTCGCACATATGGACAAATATATTGCAAAATATGTTGAGCGCGAGCGAGATGATAAATAGACTAGAGGATTTAACAGCCACTTTGGTAGGAATTACGAACGCGTCCTGGTATTTTGAAATTTTCTGCTTTTTTCTCACGCTCTGCGGCCTTTCTTTCAGCCGCAGTTCTCGTCGTCGTCGAGTTAATTCGAAACTTCGCTTTCACTACGCTCGCAAATCGGCCATTTTACCGGACGAAGTAATGCTATACCGGCGGTTCTGCGAATTTATAATTAATTATCGCTTTTTCGCGGGCGCGCGTTTCCTCGTTAACGCGGTGACCTATTTCGCCGCGTTCGTGATTTTTAACTCGACCCGGACGATGCAAAATACGCGGCAAAATGGCGCGCAATAACGAAGGCGCGGGATTGTTAAGCGCGGACGAAATCGCACTTTAAAGCCGATAGAACCGAACGAGAGGAATAGCTCGACGCGCGCGCGTCGAGGCGAATCGCGAAGGATAGACGTCCGAAGCGTCTAAATATATCGCTCCTCTCTCATCGACGTGTCTTCATCGTCTTCTGCGATGTCCGTGCGTTGCCGCGCACGCGGTGCTCGCTCGAACGATTCGCCCGCGCGCGAGAGAGAGAATTTCTTCGCGTCTCGGATCTCCGGATTTATACAACGGTACAACGTCGTTACACGACGAGGACGTCGCGCTCTCACAGAGAACGAGCGAGCGGGCGATGATCAAAGTAGGACGCTCGAAAGCACGGATCGAAGCGCTGATTAGTCGAGGCTTCGAGCGAGGTGCTGCGGAGATAGCGCTTTTCGGAGCGCCTCGATGTCGTGCCGCCGGTGCCGCGCGGCGTATCGAGGACGTTATCCGTGGACCCGAGA